TGTTAATTCGTCCTTTTCAGTTAGAAGGACAGCTTTCCAAAACAAAAACTCACTGCTCAGAATGGCTTAAACAAACAAAGTAGTAAAACAAATGAAACAACTTCAGCAGATAAAAATAAACTACAAACAATGAGATTCTTGAGAAACTTAAAAAAGCATTCAGAATATTGCCCTGTCTTGTAAAATATATAGTTACACACTTACTTCTACCACTGTGCAGAATACCTTGCAGGTTAAACATTAAAAGATTATTTCTGTTAAATGTACCATAAATGAAAGAACACATTGCACTCAAAATGTAAGAATTAACCTCCATTTCATTTCACCATAGAAAGAGAGGAAAAAAGAGACCAGTTCAACAGAATACAAATACAGTGATGTATCGCCACCTCAAGGTATTCTGAAGTATCACACTTCCCAACCCCCCGAAGGTATTTGTTTTATTGAACTGTCAAATATAGCCATAAGCAAACCAAGCCACACAATTAAAACTACCTACCACATTAAACATGTGTTTTCTGTAACTGTGGATAATTTTGAATCCTTCCCCAATCAATATGTAATGACATTTTTCAAAAAAGAAATGCATCTGTTCACAAGTGCAGTTGAATCTAATTGCTTTATTTATTTGATTGATTGATTTGGAACCTGTCTTTTCTGCAGGTGACATACATAGTATTCCTACCTCCTGTTTCTCCCTGCAACAGCCACCCTTGTGAGGTTGGTTCAGTTGAGAGAGATTGACTGGCCCAAAACATACCCACCGAGCTTTCATGGCTAGGTGGACTAGAACCTGGGTTTCACCTATGCCAGTTCAAGACCTTAGCACTATACCACAATGCCTGTGTTTACAACTTCCACAGTTCTAAACAGATTAAGAGTATGCTGAAAAAGTAAGATAGGGTTTTTTAAAATTAACTCTGAAGGTTAAGGGCATACCTTGACAAATGGCCAATTTCAGTTGGCAAATCTAAGTAAATGAAAAGGTTCCCAAATGAAGGAAGAAAGATTGGATCAATTGATTGGACTGAATGATGAAAGATAATGAAGAAAGACTGGATGCAGAAGTACAGGTAAGACAAGTAAATACACAGGTTTTCCTTCTTACAGTAGGAAGCATAGAATGTGTGAGTTCAGAACAGTTCTCTGCCAAATTTTCCCCTCTACAAAAAAAGGGATTTTTGGGGGCGGGGGGTTTCCCTCAGAGTATAAAATCTTTTAAAAATCACAGTGGAGGAAGCAACAGAGGTTGTGCTTATCTTACAAAATATGTATGGTGGCAAATAAGTCTTTTTTATACTGAAAATGTCTCTTCTGCATATGCTCAAAGCAAGCCTTTAGGCCTAACAATTTTAAAGCCAGCAACACTTCCTACAATGGTCAGATAGTGACTTAATATTGCACAGTCACAGAGTCATCCCAAGTTTGCAAGAAGACCACCTCTTGTGAAAACAGAGACAGAGCAGGCAGACAGACAGGCATGAAGATGTTGGCAAGTTTCTAGAGAAATCTGTCCTCCCTGGCTTTATTGCCCCCTTCTTAGTTTTGCCATCACACAATATGATAGGTAAAATTATGGGTGAAAACATTTAGCAAAGCCTTAGATGACAGGCACACCAAGAAAACTGAACTGCATAAATTCCCAGTTTATCCAGGGTTGACAATTTTTATAAGAGTGAAGAATCTGAATTCCACATCATGATAAATTGTCCTAGAAAAAGAATCCCATTCCTCTAAAATAAATGAAGATCTGATCTAAATTTAGGAAGTTAAAAGAAACACACATATCATATGAAGTTTATATATAGTCTATATTTACCAACAGCTTAAAGTACTTGAACAGAAATCAAACATTAGCGCCCCCCCAAATATCAATAAAGTATATTTAATATGATTTAACTATCCAAATGAATTAAAATCTTCATCTGGAAGCTATACTTACTAGAATATTTATAAAAACTTTAAGACATACAGATCAATAGCCTATAGTTTTCTTTCCTTATTAGATTCCAGCAGCACAATACAATACGTATTTACTCAGAAATTTCCCACCAAGTTAATGAGGCCAACCTTTTAATAAGGGTGCTTTATTGCTGTGTTACTGCAGCCTAAGGAAAAACAAAAGGAGGATCTGAAAACTGCTAATATGCTTATTTTAGAGTACCAAATAGCTAAATGCGTAAATGTATGTTCTACCTACAGATGATCATAAAAAAAAATCAGTAATTACAAGCTTGATTTTCAGTGTAATTAGCATGATGCCTTATTTATTTATTTAATTAATCTAATTCTAAACTGCAGTCCTATGTTGAAGCATCTTAAAGTTCACGGAGCTCGACTGAATGAAAAAAAACCCAAAGATTAAAACACAAGGGCACAAAATTACTGTTATTTAAAACCTTCAATGTGGAATGTACTAAATGAAAGCGAGGAGAAGAAAAATCCATTCATACTTAACACTCACACAGGAAGGTCTATATAAAGAAATAGATCTAAAATTCCGAAGTAGCAGCCTTATGAATACTAAGGGAGAATGCATTTTGAGAGAGTGGTCGTACTGCAGAAAAATCAAACTTAGGAGTAACTCCCACATGATGGTCTGCAAGTGTCAGCAAAGCAGCAAGACCACTATGATGACTTTAGTGTCTGCTGCTCACTTCACTAGTAAGTATTTTTGAACACAACACTGGTTGTCTTATATGCCAGGTGGGGCTACCTTATTTGAAAATGGCTTAGTAGCTAACAGTAGCCAGGGTGTGTGTTTCAGCACAAGTGTAATAATTGTGTGTAAACAGGTGTCCCACTGAGTATGCCACATTCTGCATCAGCTTCTACCAGCAGTAGCACAAGCAAAGCACATTACAATTACCTAAATATGAATTATTAATACTTCTAATACTAATACATGAACTATATTGGGCAGGATAGTCCTCTCCAAGAAAGCACATAACTGGTATAGCAACCAAGGTGGTAACAGGCACTCCTGGCTACCGAGTTTATTTAGGCATCTGGTGACAATGATAAATGTATGTGTTCCCCCTACTCAATTCTGGATGTTTCTGAATAAGTACAACTCTATCTAGAAACAACATACAGGTAGTCCTTGTTTAGTGACCACAACTGGGACTGGCAAACCGGTTGTTAAGCAAAGTGTCCACTAAGTAAAACCGCAACTGTGCTTATGAACTTACTTCAGCTTTCCTTTGCTTTACAGACCTGCAAAGGTCGTAAATGTGAGGATTGATCATAAAGTTACTTTTTCATCACCGTCATAATTGCAAACGGTTGCTAAATGAGGCAGTCGCTAAACGAGGAGTACCTGTATTCTCCAATTTCCATTATATGTGAATAACCACTTACAGGCTCTTTGTCTGAAGGAGCTTAAGTTAGTCTTATTTCAGTTGCTCAATTTAATTGTATTATTCTAACTTATGACATTATGAATTAATTTTACAAAATGACACATTTCTAACAGGAAAAAAAGCACAGTAGGAGACTTCTCTCCCCATGTCACTAATGGTAAAAACACATTACTCATCTTTAGTGATCAACAGCATGGGGTGCTTTACCACACAAGAGTCTCACTGTATCTCCTTCTTCCATGTCCAAATGACTGAGAATAAGGATCCCTTGACCAGCATACTTCTTTTTCTACTGCCGAGGTCAGGAATTGGGTGGGGAAAAGATATGAACAGTGCACAAAATCATCTCTGTATGCTACCTTGGTTTCTCTAATTAGCGAACAGAATATTGGTAGACTAGAAGAGTATAAGTCAAACCAGGGGGCCACGCATATTTCCCTTCTGGCCTAGCTGATTAATACTGGGAAAAATTGAGTGGACTGATGGGGGCTACATATGGCTTCCAAATAGTGCAATTTCAGGAAGAATCAAAGAAGTCAAATAAGCCAAGTTTCTCTCTCATGCCCCTTTGCTTTATAAACTGAATCAATTTTAGACCAGCCCTTCTAACTCCACCCAGACTCATTTACAATAAAAGCAATAGGAGTAAAAGAAAAACTTAAAAAATATGTAAAGAAACAGAGCAACTCATCACTGACAACAGTGCTAAAACATATAAAGAGATCGAAAAAGCTGGACAGAAAAGGAAATTCTTCTACCCCAACTTCTTCCTCCAAAAGAAACAGAAAGTCCTGGAAAGACTTGTGACCCTGATCTATGGAAATTAATTATTCAAAACACACACAAACACACACAAGATTAACAGCTATTCAATATGTAGCCTAGGCCAATGTATCATATCCGTGCCATAAGTAGGCATAGGCAACTGATTTGTTCCTGATCCTTTCTGTTCTATGTATTATTACTTACTGACTGAGACGTAACCCATCTACCCTGCATTAGAGAGCTCATTTTCCTTCCATTATTAAACTCAAAGTAACATAACCTGGGATTTCATATTCTTGTCACAGTGACAAGTGGACCCAGAATCACTGCTTCAGCATTCTGGGACCTCACACAACTCCCTTGATTTGCACAACTGTCACATGAATTGAGCCAACACGTAATTGTACTGAGCTTCATGGCCCTGCAGCAGCTGGGTCATGGTATTCCACACATGAAGACAATCCTGATCTCTCTCTGTCCCAACTAAAAGGGTACATGCAGTGGGATGTATGGAGACGTAAGGTTTATTTATGTGCCATATGGTACATATTACCCAGACCCCCAACCTATATATGAATAAGCTCCAAATTAAGCAAAACCACCCCCTATGTTTCTTATATTAAAATGGCATTACCCATTCTTCAGAACAATTCTACTTACAATGGATCCAGATGTTAAAATGCATTTTTATTAATTCTGATATGCTTAGGCAAAATGCTTTTCTGTTTTCTGTAGTTTTGTATTACATTTTAAAATTAAATTTGCAAGGCATAAATCTGGACTTGACATCAACTTTTATCAGGCATCAACATTTGTATATAAAAGTCTTTGGATTTCTAAGTCAGCAACCAAACCAATACTTCAACAATTTACCTGGTTGCTTAGAAGACTCCCAGCCTGAGGTTTTCACAGCATACTGAGGTCCTGTGGGCTTGAATGCTGCTCCAGACTCTGTATCAGCTGAAATAGGCCTACTGGCACCATTTTCTGGGTTTTCAGGCATGCTTCTTACAGCAGCAGCAGTACAAGTAGCAAATTGTGTAGGCTCCAAAGAATCACTGTTTGAAGACAAAAAAATTAGTTTAGCACAATCCCCAAACAAACACAAGGATCCAATGAAAATGTTCCTATATGAAGAAAGTTAGTTTTAATTATTAAAAAGTAACCTGAAAAACTGATCCCTCGCTGTTCATTCTCTCTTTTGCACACACTGCGGCAAATCTCATAAGGCACACTAATCCATATCATTTTGCATGTCATCTGTACCTGAACTATGGTTAGGATAGCTGTATTCTTAACTGTAGTCTATAACCAGGGTCTCATTAAACTGCTTCTTACAACAGCTATAGTTAATGCTAAGGCATGCTCATGTGAAACACCTTCTGATTGACTTATTTGTTTATAAGTATGGTGGCACTCCTTCAAAGTCCAGAAAGATTAATTGTCACAATGTATAATACAAAGTCCTCCTCATTACCATGAGGAGAATTTCAGGCGACTAAGTAGGCACCCAAGAAAAAGGAATTCAGGAGTGCAAGACTTTGTCTTTCACAGTTCAGCCTCAGACTAGAAAAGGTGACTGTTCATTGTCAATCAGTTATGTGCAATTTTAGATTATGTATATAATGGTCTCACAGTCCATGTGTTCCTATTTTACTTCCTTTAAAATAAGGACAAACCAAGCCTACAACATCTGAGGACCTTCCTGTTAATTATTTCCACCTCAAAGAGTGGTCTTGACAGCTCTACTGGTGGAACCAGAATATATTTTACAGATTTCATTTAATATCTACCATTTGTCTGATGAAAATTTCAATTTAGGAAATATGAAAGTTAACATACCTCAAAGGGAGAAAACACTATCATATACATAACTGCTAAGATCTACTGCTTTAGAAATAGTTAAGACTGAAGCAATTTAGGAAAAAAAAAATACAAGTTTACATTTTGGGAAAGGACAAGTTTCTTTTGGATTTAGTTCTAAGTTTGCATGCAGGTTAAGTTACTCTGGTAGTTCTATATTTTCACTATTAAAACACTGGTCTGATATAGTAAATCTGTTTGAAAATATTCCAAAACAAGTAGCGGTATGAATGCATCCTCAAACTATACATTACAATAACTACAGTGTCCGGCTTGCCCCCTTGGGATCTTTTCTGAATAGTAAAGCTGTGTGGTCTCTTTAACTTCTGCATGTGGTTGATGGTGATAGTTCACAAATGCAGAAGTAGAACAAAAGTTATTGCAGCCATAAAAGTCTTTTAGACACCTTTCAAGATTCACTCCACACGCTTATGATTTTTTTAAATATTTAAAAGTACTCAAGAAAAGCCATATTTGCATTGCTTTGCATAGAAATGGATGCAGGTATTTATTTATTTATATGCCACATTTATACAGCCACCCATCTTTTTAATGACTTGTTGCTCCATAAAGAAAACCAGTGCCAAACAATGAAGACTGCAGTAAGTCTATGGTCTAACCAAGATAGAGATAGCTTCAGGAATGCTCTTGCTAAAGAATACAGTAATGCAAAGACTGCTGCCTCTCTTTCCCTTCTTGTTGAAATCTGTGTACTGTCCAGTAGGGTTCATGTCTACAACCTTTGGGTTAAGATACACCAATGGAATTATAACAGGATATTATTGCCAAAAGCATTAAAACATGTAAATCTATACAGAAATCTATATGAAAAGTGGGATGAGCCATGCTAGTAAAGCTCAACTCATAGCTATGAAATTACAAACTTTGGGCATTTTCAAAGGAGGAAAGGTTGAAGTCTAGCTGAACAATGGGCTTCACATGAAACTTTTGATTTATGGCACTCTCTATGCCTATTGAGGTTGGCAGGAGACTTTCTGTCAACATTTGCAGCAGACCTCACACACCAATAATATTGGAACTAGTTTTGTAAGACTTTCATTACCAAAACAGAGAACGTTTTTAGTTCCTGCCACTGCATTCCCTCTGGATTTCCTTCCAGAGGTAATCTTTATGTCATGTTCAAGTAATCATGGAAATGTTATCAACAGGCAACATGCTGACTTAAAAAAATGCTAATTTCCATAGCAGTTTGCTTTCTAACATAATTCTATGCATGAAAGATTGATTAATGGGTCATTGTCTAAGGGAAGAAAAGCTCACTTTAATACTGAGAAAAGGACACAAGAATTGGCATGTGTCAAGTTACCATATCCAGCAAAAAGATACCAGGGTGCACATCTGGGTAACTGGAAATATTCATCAAGTAAATCTGTTTTTTCACCACCATGAAAGAGAAGGAAGGAAGGAAGGAAGGAAGGAAGGAAGGAAGGAAGGAAGGAAGGA